TATAACTTGGGATGGGATTCATGTTTAGGTGCCAGAGCACTGGAATTATTGCCAATATATAGAAGTTATATGTTAGCATCTTGAATATTCCCTTCCCAAATCAGTCACCAAGACTAACTGGCACAACATTCCCCTTGGATCTCTAATAACATTTTCACTGGATCATCTTTCCTTCTTTTTGCTCCCTTGACTGTAATAAATGTGTAGAAATATATTATCCATATTGAGTAAAGATGTAAAATTTCCAGGTAGAAGAGAAGAAAAACAATTTAAAAAATGGTTTCGAAAGACATAAGGTTTTTCTGTATGAAATAGAAATTTTTGCCTTTTCACAGAGGTAGCCAAAATCTTTCAGATGTTATATCTTTCTGCCAGAAAAATTTCATTTGGGAGATGGAAATATTCCATGATAATATATCAATTTCATTTAATATTTAGTAAAAATGTCAAGAAGACTGAAATATTGTATTTCCTCTACTGAAATCTTTTAACATTAATATTCTTTAATGAGTTTAACATAAAATTTAAAAAAATGCATGTTCATTTGGTAACAGCAGGGCAAAATGTTTCAATAATATCCAAGTGAAATGTCACTTTGTTTTTATGGAGTGAGTTTTCAGGATTAATATTCCAAAGAGGAAGTAGGATTTTCTTTACATTACCAATAGAAATATCACCTTGCTTACTGGGAACTGGGAGGAATACCCGAATTATAGTGTTTGCTGTCTTGAGCAAGCCTCTTGACTTAAATTTGTCATTTATATAACATGGATATTAATAATTATCTGCAAGGGATAGTGTAAGAGCCACTGAGCCAACTACGGCTGTCCCTGACCAAACACATCTCTCTGTGGAGAATTCCGCTTGAGTGAGGACTGCCAAACTTGCCACTTTGAGTATGCAGAACTTTGATTATAAATGGAAGATATGGGTAAGAAAACAGTGCATCTCTGCTCGAGGATTTAGTGCAGTTAACTAATCCACTTTAAATCAGTTCAGATTAATCTCCTGACTGACCCCATATAGACAAACCCTTAGAGAATGCCAAGGAACCATTGTGTTGAGCAGGGTAAAAACAGAGCAGTAAATATTTTCCCTACTGTAAGATTAAGACCAATCTAAAATTGTAAGACAATGTAAACAGCTACTCCCTAAAGGTAAGAGATAAAGAATATTTGGATATCGTTCCAAAAAGTGGATGAACTACTGATTTAATCGTCTCACGATGATGATCTAGACATAAAAATGATGGGATTGTGTAGGGCTGATTGGCTTTTTTAACAATATGAGTAGATCTGAAGAGGTAGTGCTTAGGTTTGGTTTTCTCTGTCCCTATGCAAGGCAGTTTGTGCTAATGAGGAAATACCTTCCTATTTGAAAACCCAGGTGGAGGTGGCTAATGAACTGATAATGAGGCAAGCAAGCTAGAGGACAAAAGTTAAACTTTCCTAATTGATGAAGAGAGAGAAAGAGGATGCCAAGTGCTGCTGGACCAAGGCGCTGTGCTTGCAGGCTCACAGGGAAAATTTCTCTCATTAGTGAAATCTCTGTGGCTGCAGGACAGAAGCAGAGCTCTGTGTGTGTGGCAGGCTGGAAACTGCAGGCTGTGTCCAGTGCCACACAGATAGGAAGTTTCCCTACACCCTGCCCAGCATATATTGTATGTTAGTTACAGTGCTGCTCTTCCCTTTGACAGCAAAGCCACATGCAGTTTGTTATGACAACAAAAATTTTATCGTTTTAGAATTCAGTTTTCAACCATCCCATTCACTAAATGAAACGTCAGCATAAAAAGTGAGAGTTATTAAAAAAAAAAGGAAAAGCACTCAGAGTGCAGCCTTCATCTGCATTCTCACAGATGTCATGGGAAGTTTGCGTTTCAGGGCCTGCTGCTTGTTGCCTCCATCTGCTGGTGACAATTTGGAAACTCAACAGACACTGAAATTCTGTGCCTGGGAGCACAAGCTGCCTCTGGAAAGCTTCTAAATCTCATTCTTCATACCAAAGCCTGCAGATCTGTAAAAAACTAGGCTTAATTTGAAAGTCATTAGTGCATCTGAAAGGGTGCTGTGTAAAACCTGTGTCTGCTACGTAAGGTGATACTACCTGGCATAGGAGACTTCATCAGTCAGACTGTGTGATAAATCAAGGAGTAAAGCTCACTCATAGCGAGTTCATCATGTTCTAGATAGATAAGGACTGTTCCTCACTCTTTGGAATCCAAATGTAAGAAAAAAGGAAACAAAAACTAACTTGGTACATTGGGCACTCCAGTATTCCCAGTTTGGCAAAAGCACCAGCCTAATGTCATGGGCTGTGATTCCTAATCCTTTCCTGCCCTTGACCCCTGCTGTCTAGATTCAAACTTGTAACCATTAATGGGGCTGGATCAAAACACTGGCCTTCTGGTGTCACCAATGGTGTTTAGAGGGGATTTAAACTCACTGCTTTTCAGCGCAGTGAAATGAACACAGCAGTAGATTAATGCAAGGATTTGAGCTCACACAGCATGAGAGCTTTCAAAAATAGTGTTAACAGAGCTACAACTGCCTCTTTCAGGGGAAGCAAAATGAGGAGAACAGAACAAATGAACAAACACAGGGCAAAGCCTTGTCACTACAGGCAGGGCTGCTAAGCCCAGGGAGCCAGGGAGAGGGCCAGCGAGTGTGCTGAGATGTGGGGCAGGAGTTCTCCCAACCATTCATGCTCTCCAGGAAATGGTTCTCAAGCCAGGAAGGGAGGAACAACATGCTTTCAGGCCCCATAACTGCATGTAATTCCCTACCCTAGGTATCTCCTCTTCTGTAGAGGGGAGGTGAGATCACAGACATCAGGGTTGGCCATGGACAAGTTGCTCACCCATCCTTCCTGTTTGCCTGTGGCCAGGCACAGGTTGAGATTTTGGCAAACTAGGCAATGGACATGAGGCTGTTTCTGAGCTTCTTTGTGCAAGAAAACACAGGTGGTCAAATACTCCTTTGTGCATTTCATCCCTTGCCAGTTGCTCATAGAGGAAGCAGTGGAGTTGCTTTTTCTCCAGCTGCCCTGTGTGTGCCTGGCTCACAGACCCCACAGCCTATGCTGTATCTTCTGTTCAGACTGCAGCAGGATGTGCTCAAGCCCACAGTAGTGACAGGAAAACATCTAAAGGTTTCCAGCTTTCATTTCAAAGATTCCTACTAACCCACCTGGCTCAGGAACCCTTCCAGTAACAACCTCAGTCTGGGGCTGAGCCTACACTGCTGAATCCAGGGGGAGTTTTGCCATCAACTTCAATGAGAATAGGATCACACCTCAGTGCTTTGTTTTGCCCGTGTTTGTTCCTTGCCTCAGGCAGGAACCTGTTTGTTTGTTTGCTGCCTGTGCTCAGTTCGAACATCAATAGGACTAGCTAAAAGAATTCAAACCATCAGATTTGGGGAAGAGCTCCAAAGTTTGTTTGCTTATCTGAACCAACCCAGGCACCCAGATTCACACAAATGGTCTGGGAATAACCTCAGGAGAGAAGGTTTTCTCAGCCAGACTCCACAGATTCCACACGGGCTGAGCAAGTCCTGGGGTATGAACAGCTTTTGTGCTTCAGGGAAGAGAGGGGAAGCACCCAGAAGCATGTAAATGGCAAATAGCTTTAAACAAGGAGACTAATTTGCCTCCTTACCAGCAGTCTCATCAAAAAGCGACTTGATTTAGTTCCTGAGTAGGGTAAATAGTCCAACCTTATATGACTAACCTTCTTCTGTTTAGAATGGTTTGTATAACCCAGGTGCAAGCCAAGTGCTTCGTTCCAGTATGTGGCTGGAACAGCTCACAGCCCCTTAGGCAGGTTCTGAGGAGGGGAAAGGGATATTGCCTCTCAAGCTGGCACAGCTATTGCCCCAAATACTGAGGTAACTCCCCTCTCCCATGTGTTTGCTCGCATGCTGGGATGCTCCCACAGAAAGATATCTTCTGATTCCTGTATTTCTGCCTGGTCCAGCCACAAAGGGTGCCAGCATCCCAGGATCACAGCACAGGTCAATTCTGGCCCTCTGGAGTCCATCCATTAAGGGGGCTTTTTTATCAAGTCTGAAAGCAAGTCAGGCTTGAAAACTACTTATGATGACTAGACTTGACCTTACTGGAGCTATTGCCATGCTGCCTGCATGCCTGTCCTCTCCCTCACAGCCCTGCAAAAGGCACCCTCTGCAGAGCAGAGGACAGCACTGCTCCTCAGACCAAACACCACTAAGTGGGAGTCACTGCTCAGGGCACTTCTGGGCACTCACATTCTCCATTGTCTGAACAAGTTTCTTTGCCAGTGTAGCCTTCATGCTTGCACTTTTAGGTTGTCCCTCTATATAGCATCAGGATACCTAATCATCATCACTGAGAGTTTTTGGCCTTGTGTGAGCAGATGACTGGCATAAAAAAATTCTTTGTGATTAGTATGTCCCACAAATGAGCATTTCTTTCCTCCCAGACTACTCTTCTCAACTTGTAGACTACCCAGCCAAGCCTTCTACAACTTAGAGAAGAAAATGCTTCCTCCAGCTGTCTGCTCTGTGCTTGCTTGCTATCCAAATTAAACTTGCTGTGGACAGCGACACATTCCCATTTCACGCTGGTTTGATTAATGTGTCTCAGCTAATTGTGTGAAGGATTCCAGTCTTTTCGACTGTGAGGCCAGGTTATTGTTCAGCCAATCTCGGCTACCATGTGAAAATGGGGGCTGTTTAGTGTTCATGCAACATAATCAAAGGAGGGGCTTCTTGGACTGGGTCACAGAGCAACACCCACTTCTTTGAAAAGATGTTACTATGCTCTACTAAACCTGCAAACCTCTTGCTCAAAGCACGTCTTCTCCCTCCTCCTCTCCCCCCTGCTCTTTTTTTCTCCTTCCAGATAGACAGGCTCCCCCCACCACTCTCCTAGGGTACAAGTGAGAGAGAATGGCTAGATTTAGATGGGTGAATTTCACATTCCAGGGTTTTTAATATTTCACTTTTATATTTCTTTTACAGAACGATCCTGCTGAGAGGCTGAGAATCAGTGCTCATCATTTCCCCCTCACTGACACTTGAATATATTTTCCCAGGAGAAAACATTAAACAAAAAGAGAAAGAGAGAAAGGGAGAGAGAGAGGGAGAGGGAGAGTGACTGAGCTAGCTTTTCAAAGCCTAGTTCTCAACCTGCCCACATCAAAATAAGAGACAACTGGCCCTTTGAAGTCCAGGACACAGACTCCTCTACCAGCCCATGTGGAAATAAAAGAATCCAGCTTTATAAATCACACAGATTTCTCACCTTGCCCACATCAAAATCAGGGACAGTGACCTTTAAAGCTGAGGTTTAAAGGTCCCCAAACCAATCTCCATAAAAATAAAGAGAGTTCAGATAAAATGTGTCTCCAGGTGCCTGTCAGCTTTTCCAGTCTAAACCAGGAGACATTGGTCCTTTGCATTGAGAAGTGGAGAATGTGAGCACTTGCAGCAATGAAATCTCCCTTTATACTTACGTATATCCAGCACTCACTGAGGCAACTTTGCCATGCATGTACCTTTGATTGCATACTAGGCCAATCCCACTGTTGTTGTAGGTCCTACAACACCGCTGTCATTAAGTAGCTCAAGGGATTCAGTAACACTGAAGCACAGGATTTTTCATAATGAGAATTACTGACCCAAAAATCGAGTGGCTAGCGGCTCAGAGAAAAAGTTGGCCTTCTTGTGAGTTAAATCCTACCTGGGTTATAGTTGGGGAGCTTGGAAAGTCCTGGCCAGGTGTCCTCAGTTGGGACCCCCAATACCTATGCAAAAGAAGAAAGAGTGAGAAGAGCAATTATCTCTTTCTGCCAGTACTTTTCCTTGGTGTGGAGTTGGAGAAAGCAGTCTCAACAGAGAGTGATTGGCCTTTCCTGTAAATCAGCATGGAATTCACACTGCCCTGTCTGAGTCTGGATCTACCACTGTGCATAAAGGACACTGACATTTTAGCACTTGGATTTTGTAGCAGAAAGGATCCTGCTGAGATTGAATGCTGTTGCTGCTGGGAACATCAGCGAAGGCATATGCAGCTTCACTGCCAGGTGCCACTTCTGCCCGGGGGGGGGCTGTTGAGCCCCTTTCAGTGCTGAAGGTGTCCTCCTGAGCCAGAGCTGCACTGGGGACTTACTCTGCCCACTTGCACTGGCAGCAGCTGATACACTCAGCAGCAGCACAAGCTGTGAGCTGCGACAGAAACCCCTGCCTTCTGAGGTGAAAAAGGAAAGCTGGCAGACAGGTCTAGTGGCAGGTGCTAGAAAGCAATCCGGTGCCTCATCCTGAAGGATGCAGAGCTTCAGCAGTGTCTTTGGCCTTTATTGGGAGCTGTGGGCTTCAGAAGTAACTGCTTGTTGAGCAAAGTCTGGGCCAGTAAAGCCTCCTATAACCTCATTTTAGTTGCTGAAATGTGTGAGATCAAGCGCATCTGGATTTCTGCAGTTGCAGATGTTCAGTGTTATTATTGTTACTTAATGCATGCAAAAGCTCTGTGCCTATTGATATGTATGATTCATGCTAAAGAGGTAAAGCCACATCTTTAAGAAGACCTCACAGAATGTGAAAGGGTAGTATAAATCAGTACTTCTAGCTCCAAGCACTCAAAGCTTATCATCCAGACAACCCACAGAATTATCAGATGTCCTTAAAAACCAGTGAAATTTTAACATGAAAAATTTCAGGGTTTTTGTTCACTTTCTCTTCTCCAACATTAGATTTGTCTCACAAAAGTTACACCCTGCATAGGATAGACAATCCCCATTCCTTAAAATGTAAGCTGAGATATGTGATATGGGGAACTCAGCCTCACAAAAACTTGTGGTAAGATTGCAAGAAAACAGACATCAGTAAAAAAAAATATATTAAAGAAGGAAGAAATATAAAGCCTGATTGTTGTAGTTGTTAAGCATCTGGTAGCTGATTGCTTTTCTCACTCACAGCTGGGAAACAGCTGTGAGGACAATTACAGCTACCTGGAGAAGACAGCCATGAGCAGGGACTGCATCTCACAACTGGTACATATTTGCATGGCGGGCTCCGGAGGGATGTGGCTTGCTGTGGCCCCTGTTTCCAAACTGCTTATGGACTTAGCCTGCCACAGCAAAGAAAAAGGGATAGGACCCTTGTCTCTGCTCACCTGTAAAATCAGTTTTGGGAGTTTTCAAACTCCCCAAAGAGAAGGTGTCTTGCAGTGTTCAGCCATGTGAGGATGTTGGAAGTTGACTTGCACCAAGGGATGAGGACGCATCCATGACCGGTGTGTATATCATGTAAGTAGGGCAGGTCAGCCCAAAGCAAACTCTATATGCACAAGAAAGTGTTGGAATCTGAATTTGAATCCAGAATTTTTTCTCTTTTGCTATCTGGTTAGATTTGTAGGAAGCATTAATGTGGGCCCTCATTCTTCAAGGTTTCTTGTGAGCCATTGGACATCAGTTCTAAAGGTATCAGAAGAAGCTGGGGAAGTTCAGGATATAGTAAAATCATACTCACCAGGGTCAGCTCAGCACTCTGCTTCTTTTGGTGAAGAATTTAAAAAAATAGTTATTTGTGCATGCTCGTACTTTGCTACATAAGGTTTTCAGCAAATACTTTAATTTTGTTTTGTTGAGGTGTGAAAGCACTCAGGGGACCAATCATTGAATGCCATATGAATTTGTATTTTCTGAGCCTTTTCTTTATAAAAGATGCTTTTCCAACCCATGCACTTGGTCTACTTTTGTTCTCCAATGTAACAGGGCAAGTGATCTCCTCTCCCTCGTCCTCTTCCCCCCTGGACCTTTAGTGAGATTCCTTGCCAAATCAGACAATGCATTACATTTATTTAATTGAAATTAATTATACTCTGACAATTGCTTTACCTGTTGTATATCCACCCTATCAAATCTAGCTGTTAACTCCCTGGTCCATGCCATCAGACTAAGCAAAGCAGCTTTTCTATACTTTATTCTATAGTGAAAGGTCTTGGTGCAGCTCAGTTCAGTCCACTTGGGAAGAGGCACAATTTCAGCCAGGAATGTTTTTACAATGCCTGTTTTTCAGCAAGTGGTTTCAGTTGGTGTAAATCATTGTCCTCTCTCTCTCTGCCCTCTGACTGCTTGCTTCTCCTGTGACAACTTAGCTGAATGAATCAACCTAGCTGATTTGGCTTACTTTTGTTGGGAAGTTTTATTCTATGTTTTATGCCAAGAAGCCTTGTAGTCATTCATTTGGCATTTGTCGCGTGTTCAGCTCAGCCCCAGAAGCACACTGGTGGCATTCTGCAGCCTAATCCAGCCCACATGAAGTCCTTCTCAGCACTATGTTAATCAATAAGATGGAGTTTTTCATGCAAAGCCTATGCCTGATCTCTGAAAATCTGAATGATGGACCTTAAGTTTGTCAGGTTTGCTCACTCTCCATGTCATGAGTGAACTGGAGATGCTGGAGTTTGCATTCATTCATGCCATACTTCCATAACTAGCACTGTCAGCCTTCCCTTCCCATTTGGCCCTGTTCCTGTGCCATGCCTTCTTGAGTACTACTGGTCATTAATGCTGGGTAAAAGAGCTGTTCTTATTTAGAGTAAGCCAGGGAGAAAACGAAGTCACAGGTTCCCCAGTTCACGTAGCCCCACATGTGAGAGGTGACACAGGAGCAGCAATGAGCAGCCAGGGATAGAGATGAGGATTGGAGACTGCTTAAGGGGGCCCCTACCTCTAGGAGAATTGTTGGTGAAATGACAGTCAGTCCTGATGATTCAACAGGACAAGCACATTTCACAGAATGGGGATTTTCCAGCCAAATATCTATATGGTTTCTGAACCATCAGTCCTACATGGAGATAAGCATGCTGGCTGATACAGACTCATGCACACAAATGCAGATGGTCTCTAAACCAGTGCAGGGGGCCTCTATATTATTAGTACATGAAAAGAACTGACTATTAGAAAACAGTAGGAGTCCCTGTTCTGAACCTCACACTCAGCAAAATATCTCAAGCTAGACATCGAAAGCCGCTAAGGAGCTTTGAAATCTTGGCCTAACACGGAGCCTCATTCCAGGCTGTATAATAACATAAAACCTTCTGTGAAAAGCACTAATTATTTCATAGCTCTTAAGGCTTCCTCATGATTTTTAAATAAGGGGGTTTTTGCCTTCTATAGCACAAATCCTATTAATCACGGTATTAGTTATAATGCCAGAGAAATTACGATAGTGCTATAACCCTCTAATGCAAACCCACAGGAAATGTATCCAGAGATTGCAGAGACATAACTGTAAGGATACCCTTCATTCACACTCTGAGAAACTGGGCCCTGCCCTGGCTTTGAACCCTGTTAATTGGCCAAGTATGGATTTTTTTTCTCAGTAATTCTTTTTTTCTCCCACTCTCTATGAAAGAGAAAGTCAGCATTTGTTTAAATGGACTGAACTCAAGTCTTAAGAACTGGATGCACTTGTCTGACATCACAGTCTAGCTACAAACAGAGAGGAAAACCCTACCAAGCAGAAGTGTTTCTGGATAAAGGGATTAAGGAGGAAAAATCTGACTTACACAGTCTTGAGGCTATAAAGTAATTTCTCATGACTTTCCAAATTTCATTTTTTCTGTACTTTCTCCTTTGAAAACCCATGCCTGGGAAACACTCTATGCAGAAGAGTCCCTGGGAGCAGACGTGAAAGGGCAGTCACCTACAACAAAAGCCAGTATGAGTCCATAGGCTGACCTTCCTGTTGAGTCAGCAAGAGGGTCAGCAAGAGTGGTCAGGAACATACAGAATCCATCAGTGCTGCCAACTGCCTCAGTTCTACCCAGCTGCACTAAGGACATGGCCCCACGTTTCTGTTTCCCCAGCAGAAAAAAAGAGCTTAGGAGGCTCCTGAATATGTCTGCTCTCACTCACTGCTGCCTTTATAAAATAATTTCACACTTTCCATTATGCCAAAGCAGTCTCTAGAGCTGTACCATAAACTGGATGATACAAAATGTTCCAAGGTAAAATGAAGAAGGATCTCTGACAAACCTCAGGGTCTTGCCATTTTCAAGGTAGTTTAAGAGCAGTATTAGAGCTCCTTTGTGAGAATATGGTGTGCTGTATCCTACAGTAAGTAAAGGATTTAACAAGAAGCAACAGAATTTGCAGTACCTGCACACCTTTTATGCCTCCTTCAATTTGATGTCACTTTAATTGGCTTTAAATTTTTGATAAGATGACAAACATCAAAGGGAAATCGTTTGATTTACACTTGTGTCTGTAAGAAAGTTGCCAAATATAAAATGGGTTACAAAGTCTGCTATA